GTTAAATGGTGAGATAAAAACAAAGTGAAACCTTGCATTTTTGTCACATTTATTTAGTATGGTTATTTATCATACCAAATTTAAAATAAAATGAAAAATCTATAGAACAAACTTAGAAAAATAAAAAAAAAACAAAAGTATTACAAAATTTATAGGATATATTATTATAAAAATCTATATATTTTTCCTAATTTAGTGAACACCTATGTTGATCATATTTTATTTAATTAACACCCATGATGCTAAATATATATATATATATATATATATATATATATATATATATATATTTATAAATTTAATTAAAAAAAAAGAAATTTATATTAAAATTTAACTGAAAATATTTCATCTGGAAAGACAAGTAAATTTTGACGTTAACCTATTATTATCATACCTATTATCATATTTTCAGCATTTTTCTGAGATTATCCGAACACTTGCCTCAAGTTAGCCACCATTTGAACTTTATAAACCTTGTGCTCTACATCTGCTTGTGAAGTTGTGATTCCATGAAGCTCCGTGACCGATCCTCTTCCTTTCAAAACTTTGTTTCCCTATCATACATATCCTCATTTCTTTCTCATGGATCCTTGCTTGCTTTTATAATTGATTTTATTTTTCATAGTCCACTCATTCCTTCATATACATTTAATGGTTTAAAATGCATTTGATGCTTTCACATCCTCCTCTTTAGTTTTTAGTTCTACCATATTGTGAAGAATATATCACACATAATATCAAGTTGCGACTCATGTCGGTGGTGGTGGATGAATTCACCGGATCTAGTGATCGTTTATCTTGGGGGGAGAGTCCCGAGGGGAGATTCTCGGTGAAGTCGGCTTACTCTTTGCTTACCAGAGACGAATCACAAAGTCAACAGATGCAACGTATGTTTGATCGGGTTTGGCGAGTGAATGCGCCGGAGAGAACAAGAGTGTTCATATGGTTAGTTGCAAATCAGGTCATCATGACGGAAATGGAGAGGCAAAGACGTCATTTGAGTGATTCCGGGATTTGTCAGGTTTGCAAAAGTGGGGAGGAGTCAATAATTCATGTACTCCGGGATTGTCCGGCAATGGAGGGGGTGTGGCAGCGGATTGTTCCTAGACGGAAGAGGCGGAGGTTTTTTGCAATGTCACTCCTGGAATGGCTTTATACTAATCTAGGAGAGGCGGAAGAAGTGGAGGGAAGCTTATGGTGTACGACTTTTGCCATGGCTTTGTGGTGGGGGTGGAAATGGCGTTGTGGTAACATTTTCGGGGTTCGCGGTCATTGTCGGGATAGAGTGCGGTTCATAAAAGATCTCAGCAAGGAGGTTACTGTCGCTCATAGTAACAATGGTTGCAGCTCGCGGGCACCAGCAAGAGTGGAGAGACAGATTGCATGGATCCCGCCATCGGAGGGGTGGGTTAAGCTAAGTACCGACGGTGCTTCAAGGGGAAATCCAGGGAGCGCAACGGCTGGTGGAGTTATGCGTGATGGGGAGGGCAATTGGTGTGGTGGATTTGCTCTTAACATTGGGATTTGCACGGCGCCTTTAGCGGAACTATGGGGAGTTTATTACGGACTTTACATAGCATGGGAGCGTCGGGTTACACGGTTAGAGTTGGAGGTGGACTCGGAGATAGTGGTGGGTTTTTTGACAACGGGGATTAGTGATTCTCATCCGTTGTCGTTCCTAGTACGTTTGTGCTATGGCTTCATATCGAGGGACTGGATAGTCCGTATTTCTCATGTGTATAGGGAGGCTAATCGTCTAGCGGATGGATTAGCAAACTATGCATTCTCTTTACCTTTGGGTTTTCATGCTTTTGCTTCAATACCGGATGATGTTCGTTCTATTTGGTTAGACGATGTGAATGGATCTACGCGATCTAGACATGTCCGATTGTAATTTTCTATTTTTTCTTTAATAAAGTATGGGAGACTTGTCTCCCTCTTCATACCAAAAAAAAATATTGTGAAGAATATGGTTCGGAAAAGATGCAAAAAATTCATCAATTACATTTAGAACAAAGCAAAAACCAAAGAAGATCTTAAAAGGAAAAACAAAAAAAAAAACAAAAAACAAAAGAAGCTATACGTAACCAAGACTTAACTAACAATAGGAAATTAAACAATATAAAATATTTCACAAAAATTAAAAGGCTGAACTCTAGAGCTAATATGAGTCCAAAACTAAAGGGCACATCTACATATATATACACGTAATATTTCCATGTTAATTTTTTTAGACTGGCATTACTTTTTCTTTTAGAGTTTTTAGTTGACAGTTAGAAAAATGATAATTCAATGTCTAAGCTAATGATAATGTGCATTTATTCATGAATTCGAAAATTATAATGTGAATTCAATCTCGTTGTATATTGTATTTTAGAGTTATTTAATAATATTATCTTATATTGACCATTCAATTCATAAATTGTAGTCAATATATATAATCAAATATTTAATGTATTTTAGTGAGAGAATGAAGTTTTTGTAACTATTGGGTAGAAGTTACACTTGGATTAAATGTGGAGTTATATAGTGCAATGAAGTTTTTTTTAATAATTATTGGGTAGGAGTTACATTTGGATTAAATGTGGAGTTTATACATGATTTTGAATATGAGTTAATTAGAATTTAGAAATAAATTTTATAATTTTGTTTTGTTTTACTTATGCTTGGCTTGTTGCATATTTTCATTCCTTAACATGTTAAATTATCATGCATATATTAACATTTTTAGATATGGTAGAGAAAAATAAGATAAAGTTTATTTATCCAATGATGAATGGTGGAAGTTACGTTTACAAAATAAATACATTTAAAAAGTTATAAAGTTTATAAAATTAGTAGAAAAACTATTCAAATTATAATTATGGTCAATGTGAGTTTAATCATGTAAATGTATTTTAGTAGTGTTGGGTGATGTCTTATATTTATTTAGTATGAGTTATTAACCTTGGTTTTATATAAGCCAATGCTGAGGAATATTTTTACATAGGTAATAATATGCGGTTGGGTACGAATTTTCCGTGCCAAATTATATAATGATCTATTAGATAAAACTAAATGTAATGATGAGTATATTAAAAATATTACAAAAATATATTTGAGATAAGAAAGAAGTAGTTGTAGAAGAAGAAAAAACCACAAATCTTGAATAAAATAAAAATTATAGTGATCATTATATATCTATTGGATCATAGAAACTAAATGTAATGATGAGTATATTAAAATGCTGCCAAAAATTATTTGAGATAAGAAAAAAAGTAATTTAAGAAATAAAGAAATTAAAACACACAAAAATTAAATAAAATAAATATAATAATAATATTTTATATAATTGTCTATTAGATTAATAAACTAAACATAATGATGATGAGTATATTAAAAATATTACAAAACAATTATTGAGATAAAAAAACAAAAAAGTACAAAAATTGAATATATTAAATATAATATTAATATTTTATATAATAGTCTATTAGATTAACAAACTAAACATAATGGTGATGAGTATATTAAAAATATTAGAAAACAATTATTGAGATAAAAAATAAAAAGTAGGTACAATTTCTTTGATAAATGTATTACAATAATTATTTCAGTTTAAAGATACATGAATATGAAAAAAATAACTAAATGTCTAACATTGGAGATGGATTTTTTCAACTTGATGTCCTTGTTGTGCTATTGATTGAATTGCTCTTTTTGAATCTCCATCTATAAATATGAATTTTTTGTTATAACCATCAAAAAAATTATTATACATAATAATTTTGAAATAAAAATATGAAAATTAAAGAATATTCTAGTAACACATTAGAATTAAAATAAAATTGGAAAAAATGTAAAATACATACCATATCTAGCCATAAAATTTAGAAGCAAACTCTTATAATGATGTCTTAATTGATTTTTCAACCAATGCAACAACAAAAGATTGAAAGAAAGAAAGTAGAAAAATATTTTTATGATTTGAGATATGGTAGATGAGGATGAGAGAATGATTATTTATAGGATGAGATGATTAGAAAATAATTAAATTAGGGGGTTACAATTAAAATTAATAGTGTTGTTGAATGAAATTGAGTGGAGACAAATATTTAATACATAATTTATATAATTTCAGTTACAATTGTAATTTCAGTTACAATTTAGTACTTAAAAGTAGATTAATGTGTATGATTAAATATGTTGTATTTATACTTTAATTGGAGATAAATATTATTATTTTTAAATTTAGTTTTAAAAATAATTGCCAAGTGGACCAATCATGGGAGAGTGAAACCCTACTTTTATATGTATGATTTAGGATCTAAATCATTTTGTTAATATCTTTTATTAAATTTTTCAAATTTTTAGAATTAAAGCCAATGGCATTCCTTGTAAATACTTCCCAACTCCAGGATTTATTTACTAAATGTACTTCAAAAATGTATATAGATATCTACCTCCGAGTTATTTTTTCTTTTCACTCATACAAAGTTAAATATTTTCATCAAGATAGATGAATTATTATACAGGACATCGGGTTTTAGAGAATGAAATTTTTTTTACTAATTATTACTTTTATTTTTTATTTTATATATATATATATATATATATATATATTATTTTATTATTGTGTGCAATTTTTAGAATTTGTACTTATTTTAAGCCACGAAGACCAAAATGTTATTGGTGGAGACAAACAAACTTATTGGAATATAGGATGTGAAAAACTGAAAATTAACGCAATTTACATACATTTTCGATATTAGGAAAGGAAATTCGAGAAACTGAGACTAGAAGTAGATACATAAAGGCTGCCACTTCATAAAGTTGGTTTTTTTACTAATATTTCATTTGATTTAATATTTAAGTTGTTTTGTGTTCTAATAATCTATCAATTGATTCTATATTCAAAGGCACTAATTGAAGACATGGGCTTTAGGAGATGAGCGTACAGTACATAGAGCCACTAGACTTTATAGGCCTTGCGAATCATTCTTCTCTCCTTTTTTTTTCTCAAATTCATCCGATTTTTAATGCTTACTTTCATGTTAGAGGACAAATGCTGGGGACTTAATAGGCATCTCGCAAACCAAGCAAGCTAGCAACATCCATTTTCCTCCAAGCATGTTACCAAAGACCACTTAGAAAATCAGTAAAAGAGATTCACAAATAATAATACCTGAAAAAGCTCAAACCAGAGTGACAGGTCGTTGGAAACAAAAGAATGGTACAAATGCTAAGCAGAGAGAAAAGGGTTCTTAGTCATGTTTCTTGCTTCCGAACAGTTTCTCATACACATCAGATTTCCGCTTGCATGCGAAAGATTTAAAACTCACCACTATTGAGTCAATCTCTTGCTCCTTTTTTTCGTACACGAGAAAAGCAATGAAGGCAATGGGCAGTCCTGTTGAACAAAAAATAACAGAAATAACAAAACTAGTTATTGTTGAAGAATTATAATTCATACAACCGTATCGTTGGCATGTAGTAAAAATAGATAATGAGAGAAAGTGTACCTATAACAAATATGCTGTGAAGAGATATGGCTCCAGCCAAACTCAATGCTAACAAAACCAAGACCACCTATGACATTAAAAACACCAAACCAATGTTATACAACATTAACTAAGATGAGTTTTTCGACCAAATCTTTTCCCCATTTCTGCTTGAGGTTGGGATCGAGATATCGTAATACTGGACGGTCCAGAGATAAGTAGTTCAAGGCGAAAATACCTTGAAAAAGAAGCTCCAATCATTCCCCTGGCAAAGAGATCTTAAAGCTTTTACAGTGGTGTTCCATGAAGAGATCACTGACAATGAGAGGTCTTGTGATGAGTCTTTCGAGAGGTGAAACTGCGATGCAGGAATCTTTTCAACTGTATAACCAAATCTGCAAAATAAGCATCTATATTCACTTGTCCATAATCTAAAAATAGACAGCGATTGCTTATTTTATTTGTTCCTGATTGAAAAGTACAAGACACAGTGTTTCAAAAATGCTTCGCATACATCTTTCCCTTCTACTGGGACATGAACATGATGATCATTTATGTGTTTCTTGAGACTGAAGTGTTATATTGAAGATTATACCTTCTTGTTTCCATTATCAGAGAACTAGGTAAAGGTAGTTCATATTGCATATACAATGAAAATCTATCAAAAGTTGGCATTTCGGGAATCTTACATTTTCTCTGGTAGAATGCCATGGAGGAACAAAAATACCGATGCTACCAATAGAGCCTTCGAAAGAGCAGTTACAACAGTAGACCCAGTTGCAACAAAGTTATAATAGATACTGATTAGAATGAATATGGCAATGAGAGTCTGCTTTAAATCCTTCCAGAGAAGTGTATCAGCAACTGCAAAATCATGTTGTAATAAATAAATCAAGATCAGGGTAAATTTTCTAGATTTGAAAATATGTCTAGTTTAACTAACAGCCTAAGCCTCTTGACATTAATATGGTAGCTAGCAACCTAACACCATCATTCTCGGGAGAGCGTCCAGATGTTGAAGTTGTCTCAAAGATTCTAAAACAAACGAAAATATCCAGTGTTGCATTTTAAGAATAAACACTGGGTGTCTTATCATGCGAGAGACAATCAGCTGAGAGGACAAGCATGCTAAATGAAATATATGGCCATACCCTTTCCGCCTCCAAGGATCCTAGAAGCCTTGGATGGGCCCTCTCTTTTAGATTGACTTCCAGCTGTTAGGTGCGAGAATGAGTCTATCGTCCTCCGTATACCTTCCTGCAGGATCATTAAGGCATGCTTTTTATAGAGAACAATAAAACGCTTCAAATCCATCTCGGTTTCAAATCAAATATTGTATAACCTGAAGTGGCACCACAGGAGCATAGCCAAGCCGATCCTTTGCTTTTGTAGAGTCGAAAGTTCTACTGCACGAGAGAAGCCTAACTCTTGAAGGTGTTAGTTGTGGTACTTTCATCCCATATGGTCCCAACAATTTATATGTGAGTTCAACCAGGTGCGCTATCGGCATCATGACAAATGCAGGGATCTTTATGCTTGGCCTGCAAAATATAATAAATTAAGAAGAACAGTCAAAGGTATGGGTTTAGTACAATGCATTCCTTCTTAGATAGTAAAGCCGTCAAAAAATATTAACCAGTTCAGAAACCTATATCCCAAAGAAAATGGTTTTCATGAAATCAGAAAAACTTGTCAGGCACAAAAATGTAAGCAGAAATCATTGGATATACCCAATTATTTCGAAGTATGTATTTCCTTATATAAGCATAATTATCTACCTATATCAAAAATAAAAAAAAAAGTCAAGATCAAGGCTCTGGACACTGTTTTAATCACTCCAGCTGAAATAGCATTTCTTCTGTAAAATATTGCTGTTTGATAATCTCATCTATCTCAATTCTCTTCATCAAAAGTTACTCATAAAGCAAACTAAATTAAATACTACTTCCGAAAAGAACGTCAGGTCAAGCTCAACTCAATTACCATGCAAGAACATAAATAAAATGAAACTAAGACGTGTTGTTTCCCTTCCTTGTGTATGAAAAATCTTACAAGTATACAGCGAAAAAATGTGTCAGTGAGTATATCATGATGACTTGACACTAGATGCATACCCAAACAAAAATGGGGAAAACTAATACCTCTCGTAACCAAGTCCTTCAAGGAGCTGTGACATAAACTCCCAAAATTTAATTGGCTCCATGTTGGTAATGAAATATGCCTGTAGATCCATTAACTGTCAGGTCAGCCTACAACTAGGATTTTCCTACAACATCATAGATAAATTACCATCTCACTGTACGCCTTAATTAAATTTGTATTCAAGGAATTAAATTTTATTCAAATACGGCAATAAAAATGTATATCATCAATGAAGAGTTTGGCGAACATCTCAAACGGATCTATCTCAGCTAAACACAACAGGAAAGAAAAATAATATCAAACGAAAAAACCAGCAAGGCCCTTTGAAGTTCACATAATATTTGAGTAGACACAGTTTCTGTCTCAGTTTTCATGGTATGTCTGAAACGTTTCTAATGCTTCAGATATGCATTAATAGCTGTGCACAACAATGCCTTCCTTATTTTAGTCTGGTTCACCAAATGACAGCATTTCATTTCAAACATTTAGAGCTAGAAAACTATTGAGACTACAGATAAAATGATGTGAAACTGAGACCAAACTCAACCTTAGAAAACTAAGGCATGGAATAAACTGAAAACAAATACCTGTCCAGCAGCTTTTGTAGAAACATCTCCTCCTGAAGCTAGAGCACGCTCAGCACAAACATGGGCATGAGCAACATTCTCAACGTAAGTGAAATCATAGAGATTATTCCCATCACCTATAATAAACTGGACATAAAAGAAGCAAAAAACAGTCGTATCAAATATAAAATTTATGAAAGATTTTATGTCAAAGAAGATATCCAAGCAAACAATGCATCTTAACCTAAATTCATTTTAGAGAGATCCCTGATCATATAAAGCACCTCTTAACTAGCAGCACACCATTTTGTAAGAGAGATAATTCCAATGTACATGAATCACAGAAACCTAAAACATAATGCCAGATAAAGACCAAATAAATCCTACTATGTCATAATTCTTAATTAGGAAGGAATATCACACCGCGTAACCAGGAATCCTCCCTTAAATCATTTCTCAAGTACCCATACGAATGTTGCTTTCCCAATCATGCTTTGTATTTCGTGTTAGGCTACATTTAAGACCATTGCATATATGCCACCTAGTTTCAGTTTGCAAAGATAATCCCACATCTTAATGACGTCCAGACATATAGAAAGTTCAGTCCTCTAGATTTGTAGCTTATTGCTTCAAATTAACAAACTCTGGGGAGTCAAGACCAAAAATTCTGCGTAAAACAGACATCAATTATTCTCTCTCCGCTCTACTAAGTCTACAGTAACTGAAAGATTTCACAGTTATTGCTTTTATGGTATATTTTTTTTCCTCCATTCCCTGTGAATCAATCTGTGTTTCCTAGAGAGTCAATCATCTGACTTCTGAGAAAAACTTCATAGTATAGAGCTGTCTATAATATGTATAGCATGATCATGACTTTCAAATACGTTTAGAGAATAATATGTCAATAAAGGGGCAGCAGGAAAGGTAAGAGGAAGGTCAGCAGCAGATAGACGGGCAAAGGGAAAGACAAAGAGAATAACCTAACCTTGGATTTTCCAGCCCTAGCAGCAGCAACAAGTGAGGGAACCAATAATCTATCACCGGGACCAAATATACTGCTTGGACGTATGCAACAAGTGAGTAGTCCATTTCTCCCATTCGCCTTCATGATCAATTCTTCTCCTTCAGCTTTAGTTGCTGAATATGAGTCATTGTGCTGAACAGATGAAAAAAATATAAGTAACCAAGCTCCAAAACAAGCATAGAATCATCAGAGTTTCATATAATCTTATTAAAGTCACAGTTCTGTACCACAATAGAAAGATAAAACATCAATGTCAAAGGCACCAGTTCAATAAATTAACACCAAAAGCGTAATTAATACCTTAATTGGGTAAGCCATTGATTCACTACCATTCAAAATACCATGAACACCATCAAAGACAACACTAGGAGAGCTAGTGTAAATAAGCCTCTTTACTCCAACATCAACACAAGCATCAATCACATTTTGTGTCCCTGTACATTAAAAACCCCAAACAAAGACAACATAAACACAAGAACAAACAAAATTCTCAGTTTGCAAGATTGAAATTTCTATTAACCTTGAACATTCACCGAGTACTGAAGCTGATGATTGTTGATAGAAGAATCTGGAGCTGCCATGTGAAACACCACCTCAGCTCCCTGAAAAGCTAAAGGGAACAAGTAATTACAAAAATGCATAGATCTCAAACTCCAATAACAATCCATGATTTAAGATTCAAAAACCTTTAGCGACTTGAGATTTATCTCGAAGATCAGCGGAGATATATTGAACACGACCAGATCTTAATCCTTCGTCGAGAACTCCGTTCTCTTCATGAGGATCAAGCATTATCGCCGGAGCTAAATCGGCGATGCGGACGCTGAACATTTCGTAGCGTACGAGCATTTCAACAAGATGCCTCGCCGCGAATCCTCTACCACCGGTGACGACGCACCATCGCTCCGTCTCCGTAGCTTCCGGCGTCATTTCTTCACCGGAAAAGCAATAAGTCGTTAGTGAACTTTTGAATCGACTAGAAAAAACGGCGAAATCAGAGAAGCATTACCTTTGAGAGAGAGATTGAAAGATGTTTTCAGGAGAAACAGTGCTTTGGTGTGTGATGCGTCCCCACACCTTTCTCTTCCAATCTATTTTTATTGTTGGAAAAGAAAATATATATTGGGCTTTCAAATTTTTACAAGATTCTGGGTTTGATTGGTAACTAAATGTTTTTTTTTATCGGGAAAATCACATTTTTAACCCTTAAAGTGTCACTGGGTAACACTTTAAACCTCGAAAGAATTTCACTAACACTATAAACCACCAAAATAATTTTACTAACACTTTAAACCTCTAAACTAGCTTACATGTTTGCACAACCACAAAATATGATTGAATAATTAATTTATGTTGGTTTAATATAAATTTATTCAATTTAACTGAAATTTTAATTAATTTTATTATTTATTATGATTTTACGATTATTAAGAAAAGTAAAAAAAAAAAAAAATTCCTCCGCTACGGAGAATGCTTCGTTTTTGACTAAACTTCAATATTCTTTGGTTTTTATTATTCTATTTAAGCTTCTCTTGTACATCATATTCTACATTATTTAGTTTCTATTATTAAACTATAAAGTTCTCTTGTGCTTAAGTCTATAGTTTCAGATGTTTAATTTTGAAATTTCATGGTGGAACGGTGAGTAAACAAAGAAGGTGATTTTTTTTTTGTCTTTTTTAGATTTTTATTAATTGTAATAAATAATAAAATTAATTTAAATTTAAATTAAACTAAATAAATAAATATTAAGCAAATAGAAATTAAATTTTTCATCATTTTTTATGGCGGAACAAAAAAAAAATCTAGTTTGGAGGTTTAAAGTGTTAGTAAAATTATTTTGGTGGTTTATAGTGTTAGTGAAATAGTTTCGAGGTTTAAAGTGCTACCCAGTAACACTTTGAAGGTTAAAAATGTGTTTTTCCCTTTTTTTATCTGTAAGCTTTTAATTAAATAGTGCAAAACTTTAAAAAAGTGTTGTACGAGAAAACAAACTGTACAAAAAAAATTGAGAGTAAAAACTTTAGTAAGGCTTTTGATAAAAATTTTGTGATTGATAAATTTTAAAGGGAAAATAAAAAATAAAGAACTTGTCCATATATGCATTCTATGAATAAATGTCAACTATTCATAAACTACCCTTTGCATTAGATTGAGCCAATTTTTTTTAATTTCCTGATTCCAGGAAAAAAAAAAAGAAACGAGCACTCACCGGCCTAAACGACGAGAAAACAAAAAATTAAGAAATATATGTAGAAAAATGATGAAGAAGACATGAGAATATATAAAATGTCAAAAATATGTCGGTTTTGTTGATGTTTTGGATGAATCCCTTATATATTAATAGAGAAGCACTCTAAAAAATAAACCTTACTTTTACGTGTTATTAACTAAACTGCCATGCTGACGTGTCGTTTTCAGAGTGATTTTCCATCCATTTAAATTAATACCCAAATTTTACTAGACTATTTACAGATTTTGTCATTAGTCTTAATACATACATATATCACACAAATAAAAAACGAAATTATAACTAAAAACAAATAATTAGGCAACTAATTTTCATATTTATATTTAACAACAATTCACGAGAGATTTGTTTATTTATATTAGTGACCTATTTTTTAATAATTAAAAAACATACACTTTTTGTTTATCTTATATTAATAAATCTTTATGTTTATATTTTTCTTTATATATATTTATATAAATCTTCTCAAGCCGATGGGTAAACAATCTTTATATTTAATTTATATTTATATTATGTTTACATTTAAATAATAAATATATACATTTAGTTCAAGAATCTCGAATTTAAAACTACAAAATCTCCACATCTTTCATAAATTTAGAAATCTATTGTACTTAAATACATAAGATAATCTCTTTTCAATATATGTTACGAATACTTAAAATCCGATTTTTTTGGAGGGATTCTAATTTTTCGAAGAAAACTAACCACATTTATTTATAAACTAAAATCTGGCCCTATTATAACCATTTCGTAGTAATCCATTCATAATCTAAGAATCTTAATTTGGAACACTACAAAATCTTAACTTGGAAACTATCAAATCTCATCTTTGATAAATTTTTGGATTTCTTATACTTAAATCTCGACATCTTTTTTTTTTTTTTATCATTCTCGACATCTTTAAAACATATAGAAAGGCATATTGGCATAAATGGTAACATTTCGTCAATACTTTCTTTATCACGTTGAAGCTTTATTCTAGATTCAAATATTTCACGGGTAAAACGTATTCATATACAAAATAGTCCCAAATTTGAATTAAAAAAAAAAAGAAAAAAAAATTATTACATGTTTCGTTTTACACAAACGGATCTTGGATCCCAGATAAAAAATTAATAAAAAGTTTAATCATATTAATTTTACTTGGATCACTTCATCCCGCACATAGTGCGGGTTGTTATCTAGTAAAACTTTATCTATAAAGTTTAAGAATACACCTTCTTAAATTTAGAATGTGTATTCTATACACTATACATATTCTACGATATTTAGATTATGTTCTACACACTCTACATGTTCTACAAAATTTAGAAGTCATTTATGTTCTACGGTATTTAGAATACTAATTTCTACAAAATTTAGAATACATATTCTACATTTTTCTCTTTGTTCTACGAAAATTAGAATATGTTTTCTAACATTTAGTCATATTCTAAAAATATTAGAAAACGTATTCTTAAAAATTTTCTTATATTCTATAAGAATTAGAAAGTATATTTAGAATTTCTTAAAAAATAAAAGATACAAAATCCTAATTAAGACACATGATATTATCTAGCCCTTGATTATCTCGATTCTCACATTATGTCGTCTTGTCAATAAGGACACACGACACTAGATTATTCCTATCAGCCTCATGCATCAAAGCATTTTCTCAAATAAACAATTTTTTCAAGTCACTGGTTTTGAATTCCCATGCACAAATTTGTTCCAGATGTTGTGTTTTTGTATTCAATTAATCTATAATGTGTATAAATTGGGAATCATGATTAAACGAACAAAATAAAGCAAAACTCCTTACATGTCTATAGACTGAAATTCGAAGAAGAGGAAGAGATTGAGCCAGAGATTTAAAGAAGAAGAAGAAGATATTAAGACTTAAGAATAATTGACGATAAACGAGGAAGTAAAACTATTGTCCCTCTTGCCCTATAGTTCAGTCCAAAAATAAAAAAATAAAAAATAGGGAAAGATTTTGCAAGATTTTAGAAACAATAGAAAAGATTTCTATAATTTTATAAGATTTTTTTTTTTAAGTTTAAGGGTATAATGGAATTAAATTTTTAGTAGATCATATGTCACCAAACTTCACTATCTATATATACATTTTTGGAACACTTTTAGCAAATAAATCATGGGGTTGGACAGTATTTACAAAGAATGCCATTGGCATTTATTATTTTCTGTTGACAAATTTAAATCAAATATTTTGCCCAACAATATCTCCTTAAATCTCTCAATATAACTACACGAATACTTTCACAAATCTCACAACCGAGATTTTGGTTCTCATTTCCTTGATATGAAACTACCATTAAATATATTCGGACGAAAATTTAAATTCAATATTTTACCAAATGGAAATATTGCCATCAATCTCTCAATAATAACTACACGAATAATTATGCTCCTAATTTAATGGCAAAAATCTTTCATATAAATGCACTTAATAAATATGCAGATTTAATTTTAACAGTATATAGTTATAGAAAAAACGAATATATTTTTTTATATAATAAAAACTCTTTGATATATCAAATATAAAAAATACAAAGATATATGTATAGCAAAATCTAACAGCAGTTTAATATATAACAAAAATTTAAAAATTATGTATATGGTAACTATAATATTCGTACTTTTTAAAAAAGATACTCATTAATATTTTTCCTTAATTTTTAAATAAATAATTTTGAAAATCAAAACTTGCTTAACACTCTTAATAAAAAGGAAATTTTGCGAAAAATTAATAATCTTTATTGTTTTCGTGGGCAAGATTTTAGGATTTAATTTAAACAAAATCTAAACCAAACATAATCGTCTCTTCTATATAAACTATTCTTCTCTACTTCTTTCACAAACTCAAATCATTAGTTTGTTTGTTTTCTCACTTCTTTGACAAACTAAAAGATGATCACAATGAAACCTAATCGGGTCTCTGAAAATAAATAGACCCGAAACTATATATATTCATGTCTTCTTTTTTTTTTTTTCATTTTCAGAATCTTTTGGAGACCTTTTCATTGACAAGGTATTCTTCTACCATGTATCTCCCTTGATATCATTTAAAAAAAATTATATTATGTTCCTGGTATCAAATCATATAATGACCCTATTATAATACATTTTTTTGCAGATTTCTTGAAATAAAATATGTTTCTTATACTTATTGATCTCTTCTATTTTTTGCAGATTTCATATTACATGTTCTTCTTCAAACAGGTATCTCTGTTGAAATCATTTAAAAAATAATAAAACTCTATTATGTTCTCAGTATAAAATCATATAACGACCTTATTATATTACATTTTTGCAGATTTCTTGAAATAAAATAAGTTTCTTAAACATCTTGATTTCTTATATTTTTTTGCAGATTTAATCAAAATGAGCATCCCATAATTAAATAATATTGTGTATTTTTTCTGAGAATAGATATTACATATCGTATATTAATTGTTATGAGAAACACATATAAAATCTTCAAATCTCAAAAATATGATTTTTGTTTTTAATGTCCATTTTTCTTTTTTCAAAAATATGATTTTTCTCAATATTCTTCATTTTTATAAATGGTTTTCTTTTGTAGGCTAACAAGTTCAATGTTTTCTTCTTTTTCTTTAGAGTAATGATTTATAATAAAATAAAATGAGATTTTAATTTTTAATTTTCTTTATACTTATTTTTATCATTTTTCTTATTTTTGTGATACTTTAGAAAAAATTGGATCTGTTTTTTTGCTTGGTAAGTGTT